ATCCTCCCGTTAGTGAAAATGAAGATATCATCTAAAAATTTGCAAAAGAATTTTGAATTGATCTAAATTTTTCAAAGGACACGCCTATAACGCCCACATGCCTATACGACAAAAACTTTTGTTTTGAACATAGAGGAAATCAACTGCGCCTATTCCATTTTATAGAGCAGCGAAATTTAGCTCTTCTTCTACTTCTTTTTTTTTTTTTTTTTTTTTTTGAGGACAACGGTGATGGGTATAAAATATTCAATCCCGACCGGATTTAATGTTCTTACTTTCTTTTAATAATACCAGTTATAATATATATCAAATAAAAGAACTTGCAAAAGACGTAATGATGGGTATTCATGATTAGACCTTCGCCGAATGCAACGTTTTTACTTGGTTTTTTTTTTTTTAAATCAATATCTGATCCGAAATAAATTATGCTAGTGAAGTCGTGTAGGTCCTATCGTGTGAGAGCAAGATCAATTTTAACTCAGTTTGAATCTTGCACACTTTTCCTCTCAGGGGGTCGTTTCTCTAAATAAACGAAAAACGTTGGGATAGGCCGCCTCCACCCAGTGAGAACACAATGTGCACGTGCATTGTGTGTGATTGGCTCCACACTGCAGTCTCATCTGCCGACTCTATCCCACATCGAGTCTAAGGTTATATGGGAAATGATGCAAAGCCTGACTGGAGGATTTTATCATTTCTTCTTCCATCACTTTTTCTCCTTCTAAACCTGGTACCACGTGTTGTGTCGGGAGCCCACGAAGCAATCTTCCAGCTTCGGTCTGGCAGCGGGAACGCCCCATTGCAGGAGTTTTGTGGTGGCTGTGGTTGCGAGAAGATTAAGTATTTGAGTTGTTAGATAGGTCTCGCCCTAGTCCGAGGGAAGGACATGCCATATACATGTTCTTAGTCTGAAACCGCAGGGTAGCTTTGCTCACTACGGGGCGCGAGTGACGCTCCCTCAGTTCGTGTGCCAACGGGCGTTGTAGGCTTAAGCTTTCACGGCGTGTACCTACGTAAAACCCCTTAGCACAGAGCCACTTAATGAATCGTGGTCACCTTTTAGATTATACTAATAGCATTCCTTAGTTATTCATTAAACTCCTCGTTTAACGTAACATATATATAGGGGCAGGAAGTAGTAAGTAGTAAGAATGACTTTCTGAGTACAATGTATTCACTTGGAACACTCTATGTGATCGTAATCGATATTTGAAACCAATTAATATGTAAGAACGAAGCTGCCCTTTAATATACATATATATAAATCATGTTTGAGTATATATATATAACAGATGGGTTATCTTTAAGAAGAAGAAATATTAATAAGAATGTACATTTGTGCAATAACATTCTGTTTTGTATTTGTAGTGTCTTCTTCGTTCGATTATCTGAAACTTTTATTGTACTTTACTGCAAATTTTTTTGTGCGTGCGTGTGTGTGTGTGTGTGTGTGTGTGTGTGTGTGTGTGTATGTGTGTGTGTAAGTATAACGTTGTGTAAACAAATTTTCTTACATTTACCGAAATGTCTCCTATTCAAATAAAACGCTTGGACTGTGCTCTTCCTCCCTTCTTGCCTGCCACCATCTTCTGCTAGTCGACTTGCTAATACGATGTGTTCGTAAATCCACAAAAATGTGCTTTAATGGATAGCATTGTATTGCTGAATGCATTTGTGTTTAAACAAAAAGAATTGAGAAATTTTAATCCTACGCACTTAAATGTAATTGCATTTGCATTGTAGTGTTGCCAAAGTGCAGCAGTAATATCACTGTAAATTTCTCGGAAAATCCTACTTTATTTTTTCTTCTCCTTAGGTTATTGAATCAATTTTTTGCATCCTTTAAATTGTATGGAAAGAAAAAATTCATTTCCCGAAAGAAATTTTATGTTTGAAATTTCGCACTTCTACCCCAAGCGCTCAAATATGGTTGCATGTGTGAATTTTGTCTGATAGCTCAATACTTTTTTACACTTCATTTCTAACTTTCTCAATAAACTAACAGATGTCTTCAGAAAGACATTTTTCGCAAACAACAATACATTAAATATTGCTGCGTAGTTGCGACGATCGCTGAGTAGATATATAAGTCTGGGAAAGGTGTTAGTGTTTCTGTCAAAGAAATTAAAAGAGTTTAAGATAAAGATTTTTTTAGTTCGTTATAATTTCTTGATGGTTTCGTAAGATTCTGCTTTTGGTGAATGCGGCGAAAACAACATTCTCTAGCGAACAAATCTGCGCAAGGAAAAAATGAGGTAGAATATATTTTTTTTTATTATGTGATCAATTATATGCATGTGAATTCGTGTAATAGGGATGGTGGGAAAGAAGTGAAAAAAGAGAAAGAGATACGGTGAAGGAGGGATAGGCCATAGTGCGTGTGTGCGTCAAGTGTTCTGCCTGCGCCGACTAAGGACTCAGTATACAATTACGAGTAAAGTATTAGGTGTTTGCAAAAATTTTAACGACTTTTTCACTTGAAAAGGGCATTTTTTGCGGAAGATTGTTACAATATATAATCAAATCAAAATAGTCTCCATAATTTTACAATATTTTTGGCAACATGGCGAGATAATGTTGAACTCTATATTGGTTTGTTAACCAATCCACCCAGTGACCCATTTTCGCACTTTTTCAACTTTGCGGAACCACGTGCCATTCAAGCCATGCTGCAACAATCTAAACAAGTGGTAATCGGGAGGCGCCATAACTGGCGAATACGCTGGGTATGGCAAAACTTTTCATTCGAGTTGCAACAATTCATCCTGAACAACTCTTACAACAATTCGCCAAAAAAATTGCACTTTCAGTCAAGTCGGGTCGCCGCCTTTAAGCTGTTCAACCCAAAATTACCGACAATTGGGATAAGACGGAACAACATCACCTTAACCCTCTGAACGTGTTTGGGTGGGCTTCAGGAGCAGAATTCTTCAAATAAGATGAGGAAGGTCAAAACCATCGAATTCAACCGTTATGTACACTAGTACTCCCCATTGCTTGTATCATATTTATCTTTAGAAGTCGCTAATTAAAATTATTGCAAACAACTAATAAACTCCACGGCATTGTGATTTGAACCATCAAACGCAGACTTGGTAGCCTGGTAGTCGATTGTTACCTACGCAGTTATCCATGCGGGCACTTAGACGTGAAAGACATTTTTTGTGGTCCTGAAAGTAGAAATTGGGAATTTCACGCTATTAGATTGAACAAAAAAAGGGACCTTTCGCTCTCCATTTTGCAAAGAATTTTAGAGGAAACTTAATTTACTTAAAATTTCTTTAGATGGCATTCAAAGCCGCTTATAACAATTATAACCTAAAAATTTAAACAATCTATCTTCGCGTAGGTGGCCCTTAGCGTAATTAGTCGTCTTTCGATCTAATAATCAACGATTATTAGCAAGATTAATGGGAAAGTTCTTTGCAGAGGACCTATTTTTCGACATATTCGATTCTATATTGTTTCGCTGTTGTAAGTAATCTTACTTCCTTATCCTCATCTCGTGGGG